TGCCGGCTCACAGCTCCTGCTCCACAAAGGGCCCCGCTACGACTGTTTTGCATGGGGCGGGGGGAAGAACCCAACGAGCGTGGGGCTTGCTCTGGATACTGAAGCGCCTACGCGGGCTGCCTGTTGCAGTGGGTGCAGGGCTCAAGCCTCCAAAGCGCCATGTCGGGCTCCCTCGTGGGTCTCAGGCTGCCGATCCTGCTCTAAAAGCAGGGGTGAATGTGAGCAGTTTTAAAACGCTGGCGCAGGCACACGTAAATGCCACCGTGGGCGCCATGACGTCCGCGGGCACCCTGTTGGGGACCACGGCCTACGCGGGCTGCCTGTTGCAGTGGGTGCAGGGCTCAAGCCTCCAAAGCGCCATGTCGGGCTCCCTCGTGGGTCTCAGGCTGCCGATCCTGCTCTAAAAGCAGGGGTGAATGTGAGCAGTTTTAAAACGCTGGCGCAGGCACACGTAAATGCCACCGTGGGCGCCATGACGTCCGCGGGCACCCTGTTGGGGACCACGGCTCTAAACCTACATCAGAAGTTAACATGTAACTCAGTGGGCTATCACAAGGTAGCTTTTAGGGACCAAATTAATACTGACCTGACATACGTTAGGACACTACAGTAATTTTTCTACCCAAGGCTTATCAGAAAATAGGTCAATCTAGAGAGAAATGCATTTTCTTCTGATAGATTTGGGTACAAGGTCCAAATCATGGAATCTGCTATTTCACCTTAATGAGAGCACTGACAGCCTAGGAAGCAAAAGCTCTTTGCTCCATCCACAAAGCAGCATAACACCAAAAAATACAACCAGTGATAATGACAAACTAAATCTTCAGCAGTTTAAGGGGGCTCTGGGAATTGTTCAAGTTGCAAACTAGATACAAGTCAAAAGTTGTTTACTTCATGCAGATGTAAAAAACCTCAAAAGATGCAAAACCCTTGCATCCTGATCAGATTCTAATACAAATCATTTAACTCAGCGCAGAAAAGAATATTTCTATTTTTTTACTTGATAGTGGAAAACATCTCCCCAGCCCTTATGGTGGTATAGCACACTGGTGTGTAGGAACTTATTTTTCCAGATAGGTATGACATGGCCAACTTTCAACACAATACAGCAGGATTTATGGCTTTAACAGTTAACACATTCATTCATTATAATCATTCAGTGTTTGTTCCCCACCACAAACACACACACACTATTATGCCATGTGCCAATAATCTTCATCTTCTATTTAGCTGGGTTACAACGTCACCAAATTACACACAGTTGCTTCAACAGTCTCTGGAAAAAATATCTATCTTAAGAAACTACGGCAATGACTGTCACAGAAACACTTAAGGGCTAATATGTTAAATATTATCAGTATAATTGTTAGCTAGAAATGGAAGAAAATGATCACTTCATGAATCAGAGAGCAATGCTTGTATAAAGAAGCCTACAGTAGACAAATATAAACCAAACAGCATAAAAAATGCTATACGCTATCGCTTCCAAATAAAAGCTAAATATTACAGAAACCTCACAGTGTTGGAAAAAGCAAGTTTAATTTAAAGTATAATTAAGTCATTTTTTCCTGACTGCAATTTCTCCACACATCAGCACTACTGGGTTAATGTCATGTGGAGAGGCCACTAATCTCAAAAGATGTCAACAGCAAATGCTACAAATCTGCTTGGAAATCTGATGCACTTCCCCCATCCCAAAAAGATGATGCATCAGATACAAACCTCAGTGGCACCATAGTGGCTAAATACATGCTTTGGGTCATATTTACAATCAGACAATGAACAGGCATGCAATGAGAATTAGACAGTATGACTTACGTTCTGCAGGTATCTGAAGATGAGGTTCTGTAATACAGCACTTAAGGAAAAGCACAGAAGCAGCACCGACTGCAACATGGGTCACTGTAACAACTAATCTGGTTATCACCAAAGCTTCCATTTTAAAAGTGCTTTACTTTTAGGCAAATAAAAATTAACAATTTCTGGAGGCGGGGGGGCGATGCCGGGTTGGCATTTAACCCACCTGTCCCCCTTCTATCCTGTTCTACCCTTCCCAGTGCTCCCTAAGGCCAGAGGTGACAGAACGACCTCTAGGGATAAATCCCTGCAGC